ATTTTCAAACTCGTGGCTTATTTCAACACTTACCGACGTTGGTGGGGAAGATGTTCTCGTTGTTGATCTGTACCTCGATCCAGTCCATGAGCAGGCTCATGTATTTGGGAGCCGACAGGGCGGTCGGCTTCTTGTACTTGTGCTCGTCTGCCCAGCGGTATTCGTACTTGGGCCCGCCCGACATGACCGGGCAGGTTTGATCGGTGCACGAGTCACTGATGGTGCCGTAGATGAGGTTGATGCGGTTGAAGAAGTCGACCACGTGGACGGCCACCCAATCGTTGAGGTCCTCGCCGTGGGGCAGCTGCACAGCCAGCTTCAGGTCCAGGCCGGCGTTCAGGGACGCCTGGGCCTTCTTGTGCAGCTCGAAGCGCTGCGTCCCGGGCTCAAACTTGCGCTTGGGCCGGAATGTCCTATCTTTGTTGAAGACTTGTTTCAGGGCCATGGACATGGTCGCATGTGGTGGCGGCAGACGATCTGTTCGAACGCTTCAGGTGAATTATTTACCGTCGAAATGGAAGCAGACAAGGTTGTGTGAACAGCCAGTGTGGGTTGTTTTGGTTATGGATTGTCGTGTTTTTATTTGGACTGACTCTGCGGTCCTGTGTACGATAAAAGGAGAAAAAGAAAAGGGCAGAATTTGGTTAATATATGCACATTTACATTGAAATGTCTACTTCCTGTCAAACCTGATTGCATGTGTAAGTAATAATTAAAATCTAGGGTTGCAAACAGCATGTTTGTTAGTTAAATTAGTGTCTAAAATGCCAAACAACAGTGAGATTTGGATTTTTCCAGTCATGAATCATATGTTAGATGCATACTAGGTTTATATAAAACTGTTAAACCGGAAAAGAAATGGAAGCCGTGCGAGAAATTTTACGCACGAGAGCAGCACAACTAAATAATTTGGCTGTAATCAGAATAAAATGCCCAGTTGCCCGACATAATTGATCTGAGACCACACTGCAGCACTGGCTGAAACAGAGGCTGTCTGCAAACGACAAGCCTCGGCAAAAAGAGATTAACCTTAAAAGATGAAACATGGTGTCTGAGTGAGTCATTTCCTATTTCATACACCAATTCCGCCGTGAGATCAAGAATATGCCGAATGACAATAAAACCAAGTCAAACCGCGTGTTGCCAACGTAAATCGACATTGTCGTGTTTATTTACGCCTCCATCTATATATCAGGTCCACACTGCTCGTTGTCTGGAGGGCTTTGTGTCGTTTTTAAGCACATTTACAGGATAAAAGTCAGAGATTCAACATCGGGGCACATGACGGCGGTGCGAAGTTTATTCGTGACGTGACGCTAGCTAACTCGGCCGGACTTGTTGCTCCATAAAACAGCAAATATAAAACCCGCTAAAAACAGACGACAAACCCGGATCCTTCACACGCTATCGTAAACGAGGGGAAAAGCCGCCTAAGGGCAGCAGTTAACTCGGGCGGCTCTTCGCAGGGTGACGAAACGATACAGTTCAAAGCCACTTTCCCGAACTTACTTGTTCCGCCTTCCTGTTTCCTTCGACCTTTTATCGAGAAATATCTGGTCGCTGATCGATAGCTTTATGTCGACACCGCAGACGGGCTACATTATGGACACACGGTGCGATACATGTCGTAGAATTAGTAATAACGTCACGAACATGTCACTTTGATAAAGAAACTAATGTCTGACTCCTCCCTGTGAAACGAAAAGTACACCAGCGCTAAGCTAGCGGCTTTAGCGGTGACTTCCGGATTCAGGATTTTCAAAGTAATGGAACTGATTTTTCCACTATATGTGGAGACTTTCATGTTAGCTTTGGCCATTTCATTACATTCCCTCTGACCTAAGAGCAGTTTTCATGTATTAATCACTTACACCTGCTGACAAACTAAATCAAGTTTCCAGTGTGGGTTTTTTCATTTTACTGTTCGGAAGAATGAATCCTGCTCTGCCTGTATCCTGATCAGATGTCTCTCTTATGTGGGACTACACGGCGTTTTGATTCTTTGCTCTCCCGTCCTACATCTTGACTCAGTACCTCACAGTTTGCAGTCTGCAGTTTTCTACAATATAGTTTTTACCCAAG